GGCAACCCCGACTATTTAGGAATCGTATTAAAGTAAAATGAGTCTATTTTTGTAAATAAAACTCAATGGGGTCTATTTTTAGAAAAAAATATATGAATGGGTTTATTTAGAAAATTTCTTCAACTGATATTTAACATTACAACTAGTTGAGATGCACGTGCAATGCATGTGGTTGAATATCATGATTATTTAAATTGATAAAAACTAGAGTAAAAATAAAAAAATAATTTTTTTGGGAGATTGATCATCAACTCAAAAATCTCTCTCTCAAATAAAATATTGTCATTGTTTCCTTCAACCCAGACTGTGGTCGCGTGATGTACTATTTGTGTGTTATAAACATATTAATCTAGTACAACATCTCTATTTATTAGTATCTTGAAGTCTTCAAAAAATTGGTGATCATTCAATTCGCGAATGAATTTGCATATAAATTTACTTGTAATACGTCCATTAAACTTTTAGTTGTGGTTTGACTCATATTCACGTTAACTTTTAGTTATCATTTTATTTATATTTATATTATTTAATATTCTTATTTAATTTTATAGCTCATTCTCTGTATCATAGAAGTAAAACTACAAGTATGAAGAATTATTTTCTTGTAAAATTAGAACAGAGAGATTATAATATATTTCGCCATGTGTTCTAAATATAAAAATTTTTTCTTTCTTTGATGCATGGTCCCTATCAAATCTTATCTCAAACGATGTGAATAAAACATATTATTATAACTCACTTGCCTAGGGCGATTGTATTGTATATAGGACATATAGCTCGTCTGGAATATCCACATTTACTAAGTGGATTTTATTGTTGTGTGATCAACATGTTAGAGGCTCGTCTTCAAACTTTTTGGCTCTATAAAAGATATAAGAAATTTAGAGTGCATATCTTATATATCATAAAAAACATATTGGTTCATGAAGAATTTTCCCTAATAACGATATTATTACAACGATGTTACTATTTAGTATTAAATTAATTTTATTATATAAGATTATATGACCTTTTTAGTAAATTATAAAGTATATATATGAAACCTCGATGCTTATAGCCACTAGTTGGGCTCCATAAAATAGGTTAACTTTACATTGTAGTTTGCTATTTGTAGTACTGTTGGCAATGCTATTACCTTTCATCTTTATCTTAGTATTCACACTTTTCTGATGTAAGTTCTCTTTTGCTCATCACTCAATTGGTTATATTTAGTTTTTATAATATTAGAGATTAGAATATTCTCTTCTGTTTAAAAAGTATTGACATGATTTATTTAAAAAATATATGCATATAGTAGCAATAGTATATACTTCAGACAACTCAAACATTAGCTTGAAGACATTTAAAGTGAGGTTATTTCTACTCTAGAATGGTGATATGATGATTACATAGTCCAAAAGTCAAAGAACAAATTTCTACAAAGAAAAAGTAATTTAATATGTCAAATTAAGAACTAATTTGTAAAATATACATGCGTAGTGTAGATAGCTATAGAAAGTAAGGTATACATCTTCATAAAAATTTCATAGTGAGTGACCAACTACAATCATCTTAATTTAAGCATAAATAATTATTATTTTAGTTAATAATTTGATATGCGTAACTATAAAATAAAGTTTAAGCAAAAAATAGGAATTGAGATTGTATTATACTATAGGTAAATAAATAAATATTATTAGAGATCCTCTTTATATTAAATTTAAAAGTAATAATTTAAATTATTAAGCACCAAATATTAGCTCATGTGAGAAAGTAAAGTAATCTATGATCTATATACATATATAGTCAATCAATCAAACGTGTTAAAATTATGATGACCACAGTCAAAATTATATGGTGGTTCATATTAAATATAATTAATAAAATATAGCATATTAAAGTCAAAATCTTTTTAACCAATATATAGATTGTCTGAAAATTTTTGCGTATATAAACTATACCGCCTAGGAATAATGATATTCACACTTAGCTATGGTTTAATAATCTTAATAACGACTTACTTTTCAATATCATGATTAATTGACGTATCTATGCATTACACTGAAAACACAATACAAATTTAGAAAACTACAAAATAAACACCTACAAAAAGTTTAAAAATTATAAAAAACACCCTAAAAATTTATAATTTACAAATGCACAAAACTATTAAACATTACATTAAAATCAAAGAATTACAAAAAAATTATTGAAAATTTTCAAACTTTGGAGGGATAATTTGAAATGTATTAAACTTTAAAGAATTTTTTTATAAATTTTAAATTTAATAGATTTTTAATTAGTTATGTTCATTTTAAAAAAGTTATGGGTAATATTGACCATGAAAAGTTTTTCCTAAACATATACTTTTAAAGGGTGTATGACATTTTTTGTAAAATTTTAATTTTCTAAGGGGCTGTAAGTAATTTTGCATATTCATTTTAGTGTCTATAGGTTAGATATTCCCATGGTGTTTTTTTGTAAATTATGAATTTTAGGGGTTTTTTATAAATTTTTAAACTTATAGACCTTTTCTACATATTGTAAATTCTTTGTAGACTATTTATAATTCCTATGCTTTCAATCTACTAATAAGTTTGAAATTCTTAGGATGTTTTTTATAAATTTTGAATTTTAAAGGTTTGTTTGTAATTTTTTAAATTTAAGGGTGTTTTCTATAAATTATAAATTATGTATGAGATATTTATAATTCCTATATTTTTAATGTACTGTTACGTTGGAAATTATCAGGATTTTATATAAAATTTTATAATTTTGAGGGTTTTATTTTATAAATTTGTAAAATGTTCAGAGTGTGTATTGCAAATTCCATAAATTTTTGGGTGTTGTTTGTGTTATTTGTAGGTTTTTAGGGTGTTGTTGCAATTTTTAAAACTTACAAGATATTTCCTCTCAAGTCAATTTTTTGTTAGTTTCTAGCTTGCATATGTTTTTAGATTTCTCACTGAATTAAAATAAGTAAAATTTATAATTTTTAAGATACTTTAATAAAAATTTGAATTTATAGGGGTGTTTTTGCAATTTAAAAACTTAGAGGATATTTTTACAAAGTCTAAAATTTTTTAGGTGGTGGCTAGCATATGTTTCTACGAACTGAAATAAGTAAAGGAAATGAATTATATAAAACGTGTATCTTTTATTCAATAACATATTAAGTCTCATTATGAATGAGATAAATCATTTAGTTACCAATGCAAAGAAGATATGATAATTAGAATAGATTAGGATAATAATATAATATTAAAAAGAGGTAAGGGTAATATTGACCGTAGAAAGATTTTTCCGAACTCGTACTTTTAAAGTTCTCATGATGTTTTTTTGTAAATTATTAATTTTAGAGGTTTTTTATAATTTTTTAAACTTATAGGCATTTTCTACATGTTGTAAATTTTTTATAAACTATTTATAATTTCTATGCTTTTAATTTACTAATAAGTTTGAAATTCTCAGGGTGTTTTTTGTAAGTTTTAAATTTTAAAGGTTTGTTTATAATTTTTAAAACTTTAAGGATATTTTCTATAAATTATAAATTATGTAGGGGATATTTATAATTCCTATATTTTAAATGTACTGTTATGTTAGAAATTATCAGGATTTTTGTAAATTTTATAATTTTGAGAGTTTTATTTTGTAATTTGTAAAAAGTTTAGTGTGTGTATTGCAAGTTCCATAAATTTTCGGAGGTTGTTTGTGTTATTTGTAGGTTTTTATTGTGTTTATAGGTTTGGAAATTTCAAGGTGTATTTTTATAAATTTTGAATTTTTAGGGGTGTTTTTATAATTTTTAAAAAATACAAGATATTTTCTCCAAAATAAAAAAACTTTCAGTTTCTAGCTTGCATATGTTTTTCTGATTTCCAACTGAATTAAAATAAGTAAAATTTATAATTTTTAAGATGCTTTAATAAAATTTTAAATTTGTAGGAGTATTTTTGCAATTTAAAAACTTAGAGAATATTTTTTACAAAGTCCAAAAACTTTTAGGTGTTGGTTAACATATGTTTTTTAGATTTCTCTGCGAACTGAAATAAGTGAATGATTTGAGCTCGTACGTCGTTCACCGCCGTTCGCCGCCTCGAGCTCGTACGTCGTTCACCGCCGCCGCCGTTCGCCGTTCTCCGCCTCGAGCTCATACGTCGTTCTCGAGCTCAAACGCCCGCTTCGCGACCATCGTTCTCCACCGTGATTTCCCCACGATTGACGTTATTTTCATTTAATTCTCATACAACAGAGCTCCTTTGGGAAAGTGACAATCCAGATCGATCGAGTTGTGATGCTTGGATCAGTTGCTGGAGAGTATGCCCTTCTTCCTCAAAGCAAAAGTCGACCTCCACGCAACCTTGAAATTGAGTTCCAGTGGTCGAATAGAGCAATAAACGAGGAAAATTCATCGTGAGGTATTTGATATCCTCTCTGTAATTTGTTAAAGAATTGGATCAGTTCTGTAGTTTTTGCTCTTTCGTTTGCTTTCTTCTTGTATTATTGTAAATAGTCAGCAGAGAATTCATCTACTTGCTTGTTTGTGATGAATCATTCTTTATTTTTTTTTTCTCTCTTAAACGGTTGGCAAGGATAAAGTGTGCAGAGAGCCCGCATCTTGTGAAATGTGAATGAAATTTGAGTTTATGGATGAAATGTGAATGAAATTAAGTTTATGGATTCATGTGAATGAAATTATGGATGTGAAATGTGAATTCTTAGTCCATCTCAGAGCAAGAGAATTGCCCCCATTGGAACAATTTTACCCAATTTGTCTCAATTTATCCCATTGGGTAAAATTACCCCATTGGAACAATTTTACCCAATTTGCCCCAAATTACACCAATGAATAACCCCCCAAAGAGAGAATTGAGGCGAAGAGATCTAGTTGCTTGGCTTTAGATTTTATCTATTTATTATTTGTTTGTTTTGCTTTACAGCAACAATAATGTATAATAACCGGTTCATAAATGGATCCCATCTTCTACCCAAACCGAACCCGTTAACACTAACGACGCACCTTTTTTTTTTTACACGACGGCCCACTCAAAACCTAAAACCCTACCCTGAAAGCTCCCACGCTCAATATCCATCAATAATCGACAATATTTTCTTTCGCCCTAATTCCAGGTGCAAGTCTCTTTAATTTCACGTGAAATCGTCTCATCGAAGTGATCGCCTTGCCCTAATCTTCGATTAATTTTCTCACTGTTTAATTTCTGTAGGTGAGAGATGGGTGAAGTTATGTTGGGGATGCCGGGGCCCTGGGCCGAGGATTACCTCGAAGCATCCGATCATTACACCACCAAAATTGGGGGATTGCCTGTACGTGAAATCCAAAATATGAGCAATTCAGTGGCTTTTGAGAGGAATTTTGCGTTTGATTTTATATAAATTAGTACATTTTCATTAAGGTTGTGTTTGGATTCGAGGATTTGATTTCAAATTCCGGAATTGAATTCTGAAATTTGAAATCCAGAATTTCAAAATTCAATTCATTCGTTTGGGAAACATCCAAATTTGAATTCCAGAATTCAATTTGAAATTTATGTTTGGCAAACTTTAGAATTTCAATTTTAAAATTTTTAATTGAGCTGTTTGTCAACTAGTAGCATTCTAATTTCTAAACTAAAATTGTAACTCGAAGATAATTTAGAAATAAGATAATCAATTTACGTAAGGTTTGCATCGAAATTGGTGGAAATAAATGCTTCAAATAGTATATCATATATCCAACTAACATTACATATAGATAAAGAAAAATCTCTTAGGGATCTAAAACATGAAACCCTACATGGGACAAGTGAGGTGTCGGTCTCTATCCCATGATGCACTATTCATGAACAGTACATCATGGGATAGGGAGCCGGCACCTCACATGTCCCATGTTTTTTGGGTCCCTGTAGCACCACCCATAGATAAAATACCTTAAAATTTTAAAGGCAGTAATGTCAACCTAATAATCATCATAAAAATGACCGAAATTATTCATCAATAAACTTTGTAAACTCATCCACCACTAACTAAAACAATAAATAAATTAGAAACTTCAAATATTGCATATAACAATTTAACAAACTAAAGATCCAAAATATTCAACAAATACAAACCAACAAAAGTTAATATTTCTCTATTACACAGTGTCATGCTTAAGTTGCTCTCGCACTAATTTCTTTAAAACTTTTACATCTGATTCAAATGAGAGTTTCTTTCTAATACTTATACACTTTTACTTTGTATTTCTCATTGTAGTTTTCTCCCCTCGGTTCAGGAAGTTCTACTTTGCGAGGTCTTGAATCACCTGAAACAATAACAAGAAGACCAAATCAGCTTCATTCTTAAAGACCGTGCAGACATGCAACATAAAAGAAATCATGTTCTATTTAGATTGCTAGGAATCACATTCTATTTCAAAATCCAAAATGTTGCTACGGAGGATTGTTGTAGACCGTTTATGTTATTTTTGAAATCAAACTGTATGGAAAATTAAATGTGTTCAAGTGTTGACAAGAACTAGAAACAAACACATGTGGAGAGTTCAATTTAAGCCATCTCAAGGATGATGAAACCATGTAGTTTCCATACAAAATGCTTGTACTGAAAGGGCATATATTTCAGCTTGAATAAATAGAAATTTTTAGTCGAGATAGCTGAGACAATGATGTTCAAACATTTGATATGCACCAACTAAAACTACCAAAACAAAAGCATCAATGCAAACGGAAAGTTAATTAGCTATTTTTTTACCTTAGTCTGAGTTTTCAAGACATAGCATAATCTAATCTAACTTTTGATTATTTGGAAGTAACTTCAACATTCGGAAATCATGTGCAAAACCATCAATAAATCTCTTAATCTCTCTTAAAAATTAATGTGGAAGAATACCCCTCACTTTAGATACCATGACATAAATCTTCTTGCAATCGGCTTTTGGTGGGTTCATACTCACCAAATACTCCTTAAGCATCTCACCAACATCACTTATTGTATATGTTAAAGGGTCTCTCTTGAACTTCTTATTGGATTTGGAAGTTGAAGATTTTGAAACCCCTCTGCTAGAGCTCTCCCTTTTATTCGCACCTTCCATATTCATAGCTGCAATACAATCATCAATTTGCTCTGCACCTTCGCTGGTTGCTCTTTCAATGCCCACTAAAACACATATATCGTCCCCGTTCTCAATAGCTTTGTTTGGATATGCCTTGACATCTGAATTTACCTATGCAAGCATGAGAAAATTCAAAAGCCTAGTGAGACAAAATCATAAAGACTTGAAAGAAGATGGATATAAGAAAACTCATGACACTAATACTACAAATAAACAAGACTAAGAACCAAAATCCAATATTCAGTGGGTATCAAAAACATAGATGTGAATGACTAGAATTTGTGCTTCATCTGTATTCAGACTGAGCATGCTTCTGCAAATGGCATATGAAGGTGTCTTGTACTGTTTTCTACATGCAAACTCTAAGACGTGAAGGGGAGAAATGCAACTTACCCATAGAAAATTACATGTACTCGCTGCATTTTAACAATAACTAGAAGGCATAATCAAAAGTGGTAACCCAAGCATCACTAAGCAACCATCCAGTTTGCCCATTTTCTAGAGATACTTGTACACTAAGTTGGAATATGTGTTGACAGCTGATTATTATGAAGCTGAAGGGACACACAAGAGAACAAATTAAATACATATGTCGTAAATATTCAACATACTTCACAATACTTGGTCCAATCTACCAAGTCCTCAATGGTAATTACTACCATTTTCTTATCATCGTCCCATCTGAACTTGGTTTTTGTATGTATTTCAGTGATGATGGCATAGTGTCTCTTCCAAAGTTTCACCCTATTCCTTACGTGATCCACCGTGACAGACAACCCAATTTGGATTTTAACTCATCAACAACAGCTTGGTAAGCTTGAGGCTTCTAATCCCCCTCACCTTTATTGCCTTAGTTTAGTTGATTGTAAAACATGGCCGTCAGTATCGTATCTATTTGCGAATTCCAAGTAAGATAACTTCTTTTCCTACCTCCTTGTGTAGGAGGCAAAATCTCTTTACCTTTTCTACTTGTTACCTTAAGAAGACGGAAGTCATATTAGTAGAAATTATAATATCAGTCTACAGTAGTGAAGAAAATTAAAATGGTACATAACTAAACATTAATCATGTTTTAATTTCACTATTTACACATTTAAAAGTTAGTTAACTCAAGTTTCAGTTCATAATGAAGACTTAAGAGATTGATTAAGGCTAATGTGTTACCAATACTGATAAGATGCACTAATGCATGCAAATTTGATTTGATCCTAAAGTAGCTGAAGTGTTGCCGTCATATATTATAAAGTGGTGTATTTTACTACATTCTAAGCATAGAAAAAGCTTTTATCACCAAAGTAAGTGTATTTCATGTCAAGCAAGTTGATGGCGAAGTCATATAAGCTTGAGCTTTGTTACAGCGACGCAAAATATGAGACCAACAGAGGGGGACAGGTGAGGTGTCCCCCTCGCCAGCTCATTATGCAATAGGAGGGGGACACCTCACTTGTCCCCCATGTTGGTCCCATATTTTGAGTCCTAGGGGAATTTTTCTATAAGCTTTTGAAATAAGTATGCTAATTATGACAAAGTAATAAAATTGTGATAAACTAACCTTAAGAGACGCTCCAAATGCTGGCTTGCCAAAACTACAATCAACATTAACATTTACTATTTATCAACAATTCGGAATTTACAAGCTCAAACATCCTCCAATATCGTGAATTTCATTATATCAGGCATAATCATAACACAATCAGTGCTAATATAAGCTATTTGTGCCAGTATGCAGTATGTTACCCGTTCCATAGATATCCCACTAAATTCAGTTCCCACATTATCTGACTTGGCCATAGTCTAAAACAATAATAATCAATCATAACAGTATCTAAAACCTTCCTAAATTTCTAGAATATGAAAATATTCAAGGCAACAATCAATCTCAATTTCAAGAATATGAAAATATCCAAGGCAACTATCAATCAAGATCACATACGGTAACTCTCATCACATGGCAGTTACTTGCATCCGTAGTTGGTAATATGTGGACTGTGTCAGTATGTTTCTTGTCGATGCCATTCTTATCCATGCAGCATTGATCTGCTTGGAAACCCCAAGTTTTTTCTTCCTCTTTCCGGTCATCATAATTCACTCTTGCAATTGTTGGCATTGGCATATGCAGCTAAAGGGGCTATTGATGGCATTCATTAAAGAGTTTCGTTAATATTGTCTATATTAAATAATGTAGGTATTCTGTAATAGAATTGGTATTTTCCTCAATGAGGTTCTTGCAGGATTGGCCAACCCAAGATATGAATAGTGGGCCTGATTTTCTGAACTGTGGTTTATGTGGAGAAAAACTTTGCCTTGTTGCTCAGGTTTGTTCCAAGTCATTAAATTTAAGTGTTCTTGAGTTTCCCAAATAATTTCTTTTGTTAGATACATTCTAAGAATTTGAACTCTTTCAACGTTCAGTAGAATTGAGGATATTCAGAGTTAATAACTTAGTCTACTATTCGTTAATATAGCGATTAATTGTGAAAAATGTACGAAACCCTAAAGAAATGATCAATATTTTGGCTACAAAAATTTTGACGTATTTGTGATCCAAATTTCGTATCCATTGGTTGGTCCTGATGATTGAATATATTGATGTTGTGTGGTTTTTTGTTGAAAAGAGCTTTTGTCGTAGGTTTACAATCGACATAGTTGTAAGTTACTTGTACTTAAAGAATACTCAATCATGGCATTGAATTGGACATTGGGAAATTCAATTAGGTTTCAAAATGTTACAGAAAACCAAAAGTTTTGATTTCAAACGTCTTGACAGATATGTAAAAGGGAATTTACACCTTGATTTCCTCCTTTCAATATTCAGTTATGTCCGTATCATAAATTCAGCATTTGGGAATAATTCCATTAGGGCAAAAAGGTGCATAAAAAAGAAAAACCGGTTAAGTGCTAGGTTTTTTAAAACTGGGATAAGCAAAGCCGAAGCTTTTGGTGCACAATGCAAGATTTAGCTTAAACGGAAAGTAACGCATAATGCAAGATTTAGCTTAAATCTATGATCTATATAAGTGTTTGGACAAGCTATTGATATTTATAATTTTGTTATAAATATTAAACTATCCACGAGCAAGTCATTAAATCTTCAATGTTAGACACCTTATGAGGCTGTTTAGTAATTTAAAGAAATGTTCCTTTTGATATTTAATTATCGTTCAAGAAATGTTTAGTAAAGGAGAATGTGTGTTATTTGATTTTATCATTAGGTCTATGCTCCTATCATAATGCCAAATCTTCATACTTAAGAGCGTGTGATCTATATTGTAAATTCAGCATTTTGGGGTATTTTAATTAGGCGAAGAGGTACATAAAAAGAAAAGGAGATTAAAATTAGGTTTTTTTGAAACTCCGATATGCAAAGATAATAACTTTTGCCGGGCACAATGCAAGATGTTATAAACAACAATAAGGTGCTTATTAGTGTCAACTGACTTCTATGACCTATAAGCATTTTGGCAAGTTAAAAATATTGATAAGTTTATTACATGCCTTAAACTATGCATGAGCAAGTGGCTGAATGGTTGATTTTAAACACCATGAGGCTGGAGAGTAATTTGAAGAAATGTTTGCTTTAGTATTTTAATTGTCGTTCAAGAAATGTTTTAGCAGTGGAGTGTGTTTGTGACTTGATTTTATTATTAGGTCTATGCTCCTATCTCAATGCCAAATCTTAATGTTGAAGAGCGTGTGATCTATATCTTTGGTTGTCAGATGCCAAAATGTGGGAGCAATCCCCGTAGGTTTGTTTCTCCCTACATCTTCCTTCCCTTTTTCTTTTATCTTAGTTCTATGGTTTTAAGTTTTTAACTGAATAGAAGTCAAAAATAAATTGCAGTTGGCGTGCTATTCGAGTACAGAAATGTCGTGATGAGAAGGAAGCCATTGATACTAAAGAACCGAGGGCAGTGGAAGAAATTTCCGCTCCTATATCTAAGAGTATGTCAAACGGAGAAAATTTACTAGGATTTGGAGAAGATTTACTAGGATTTGGAGAAGATGATGAGAGTGATGATGATATTGATTTGGAGGAGCTGAGTAGGGCTTTTTCTGAAGCTGGTGCCCAGGCTTCTCTGTCCAAAATACAAATAAGGTCTGCACATCCAAGAGATGCTAGGAATTCCCTTTTGTCCAAGCCAAGATCAGTTGATGGCACCAGTAAACAAGGTACAGCTTGTCTGTTGTATGAGCCAGTAGATTTCTTCTTCTTGTAGAGAAACGACTTTGAGAGTTCTCTCTCTCTCTTCCATCTCCAGAAAAGAGTCAGATGCAGTTCATTCTTATTTTCTTTCAGTTATTGTGAAGTAAAGCACAATCATTTTTGTTGGCTTGACTTTGTTTCAGCAGTGCCTTGCTTTTATATCTATTCTCAGAAGGCACAACCCCGCAGTGATGTTAGTGTTATGTCTGCCAGTTGCTCCTCCCTTTCTATCAAAGAAAGCGAGAGCCCTGCTAAGGATAATGATGATGAAGAAAGATGGGAAGGAGAGGACTACGAGTATGATAGGGCGTTAAATGCCGACAGGACTTATTTGAAGTTCAAGAAACAATTGGATTTACAGCCACAGCAATGCTTTAGGTAGTATTTCTCTCTTTTCTAGTTTTAGATATGAGATATTCTTAGTTATGAGGTTTTATGAATTGGAATAGTTTTCTCTATATGCACAGTTGTCATCTTTATAGTTCACTATTTCACAAGTGATCTGAAATATATTTACCCAAGTGAAGCATAAAATCTACTTGAATGACAGTGAAACCGTGCAGGCTATAAAGTCAACTGTTGATCCATCCTTTTTTCCTTTGTCCTCCAGTTTCCATTATAGTAATCTGTACTTTCAGGACTTTACATCAAATGTCAGTCAAAAGTTAAAATGTTGACGGAAGATATGCTGACAGCAAAGTAACTGTATCTCACAGAAGGTTACTGCCCCCTTTATAGGCAAAGTTTTCAAGTGTTTGCTTCCAGTGAAGCAGTCATGCTTATCAGCATGAAGCAGACTGTTCAAGTGCAGTTAAATGGTTGCTTTTCTGAATTTTAAGTCAAAATTTTGTTTATGTAATGGGTAATTTGATATTGCACTTAACGCCATGGTCCTTTTTTCACTATCTGACAATCGTTTTGTTCTTGACTAGTTCCATGCAATCACTTGCTCAAGTTACACTTAAAAAGGATCTAGTTTTTAGGAGACGTGTCTAACCAGAATGGCTAATGGCATCGCCTGCTAGGACATATAATTAGGGGTGCTAAACCGTATCCGTATCCGAGAAAATATCCGTAACCGTATCCGTTAGGATGCGAATATGGTTAGGGGTGCTAAACCGTATCCGTATCCGAGAAAATATCCGTAACCGTATCCGTTAGGATGCGAATATGGTTACTCAAATCTATAACCGATAAGATATGGTTACGGATATGGTTTTGTAGTGAAATATCCATATCCGTATCCGAAATATCTGAATACATATTAGTCATACTTTTACGATAGTTTCGATTCTTAGATTATGGATTTGTGGTTAATTTTGATGATCAAAATGTCTAATCTTAACTTTTTAATTATAATGAACATATTAACAAACTCTTTTGTATCACATGAACTATGTTTTTCTCAATACTATCCAGTTTTCTCATATCTGTTTTGTATCTGCATGCATATCCGCTTATATGTCCGCATGTATATCCGTAACCGTATCCGATTTTAGTGGATATGGTTATAAATTTTTCTTACCGAGGTATATCCGTATCTGTATCCGTATCCGAGATGGGTAAGCGGATATGGATATGATAAGCATCATATCCGAGCTGTATCCGGACCGAATGCACCCCTACATATAATACATGTGACCTCTACATCTTCAACAAGTTCTCTCTACTTTGTGTTTGCAGTTTGGCTTTCAGTTATATATGAAAACTTTGTAGTCCTTTGAACATATGCTTTCTCCTTGTAGGTATTCATATGGCGGTAAGCCTCTTTTGACTACAACCAATGTGGTTCAACCTGACACCTGTAGGCTCTGTGGTTCAAGACGACATTATGAAATGCAGTTGATGTCCCCCTTATTATATTTTCTTCACGAAGCTGCGGATGGTTCATCAACTGATATCCCGGAGGAATGGAGTTGGATGACACTCATCTTATATACCTGTTCCACTGTAAGACATGACTGTTAGTTTTGATTTACAAGGAAAATTCTTAAATTCTTGAACTGTACTTGTCTTTCTACTAGGTTCATGCTATCACTTATCTAGAGGTAGTCTCTTCGTGCCAATGGTATAAGATGGTCTGGGTTCTGTCTTCTTTCCTCTGAGATTCAACATGTTCAATTGATCCCTTTACGGGCTTCCATGAGTATTTGTTGAGGTTTTGATGTTAAATGATTGCTGATGATTTGACCATCGACGTTGTCTAGGATTTACTGTTTGAAAGATGTTTAAGAGAATTAGTTAAATTAAATGTATGATAGACTCGATAATGGAGTTAACCGGAAGAAGTGATCAAAAGCTCATTAAATAAAAGACGTGGAGACAGCTTTGACTGTCTTCATTTCTCCCTTATCGTGTCCTTTCCATCAAAAAAGTAAATGTCAATATTTCCATTCTTGATTTCAGATGCCTCTTGAGGTGCAGAGAAGACTCTGTTTCAAGCACAAATAATTTGATATATCCATGTGCCAACTTGTGGTTTAAACAAATTTAACTTGGTCAGGTTGTCAACTTTCTTGAGTTGACATTACATCTTAGTCCCCTGAAATGAGATGTTGGGGAAAAAGGAAGACTGGGTATTGCATGCTGCTCGGGGTAGGCAATTGGAGAGATCATGTAAAGATTGCTAGATGGAGAGGAACTTTGGGCTTGCTAAGCAGAACATCTTTTGCTTATTATTAAGAATTTGGATACTCCGGGTATCATCTTTATATTTAAGAAAATATTGTGGCAGAGGGCAGCTATATTCAGGAAATACATCAGATTGGGGACTTCATGTTGCTTTGGGATAAAGATTTCTGTTTATACACAATCACATGATAAATCGCATGATATAGTAGACACTCTAGTACGCTAATTATACATTTAATACATTTTTGTAGTTGAATGGTTGTAACACTAGCGATCTTAGAAATATATTTCCTTACATCAGTTAGAGCATTTCATATTGTCTTTTCATCATAATTGGGGAAAAGAGATGAGAAGTAAGTGAATATCATTTAATGAGATATAGAACATTAAAGAGTAAAATCAATAAAATTTTTGACAGAAGTATTTTAGCATTTCATGTAAGGAGATGGTTTTGAAGTTTCTTATGAAGTTACAAGATAGACAACAATCTATATCTATACTACATATAAAAGAGGATTGCCTTGTCAAAACTTTTGATTTCCATTTTTGCCCTTTAAGTTTGATAATTCTCAAATACGTCCTTAATTGTAATTAATCATTCACTAATTATATATAACCTCTTATTAATTATACATTTCCTCACTTTTTCAAAACCTTTGGCCACACTATTATTTTATTATTTAATTATGTTATTTAATAGAAAAGTTGAAATTTATCCCTAATTTATCTTCACATAATATTTAAAATTCTAGAAAAATTAAAAATAACAAAAATTCATTAGGCTTATGCCGTACAACTTTGGGTTTCACCTCTTATGGAGGACAAATAAGAGGACAACATGTTACTTTACATCTTATTAGCCTTTCAAATATATGATAATAGTATGAAAAACAATTTGCATTTATTGTAATTGTAATAGTATTAATAGTATAATGATTTGAATAGTATTTTTGAATTAATAAGTTACACTGTAATTTAATAATTATACAATTTAGTAAATTATTTACTTATAGTGTAATAAACTAATTATTAAATTAAAAGATAGTTACTAATAGTATTATAATTATGCCAAGTATAATATTATTATATTTAAAAGCAAAAAAAACTATGTAATATATTATAATTATTTTTAAAATTTATGAAAATTATAATTATCCAAACTATAATTGATCATAGAGTTATTTATATACAATTTTATCGTACAATTTATTCATTTAAATAAAATTATAATTGTTCAGAACTTATATTGCTATACAAGTCATTTCATTTTTTTATAGCCAACAAAAAATTGAAAAACATAAAATAAAATAGGGATACTCTCGTAAAAAGCACGTGCACTATACTAGTGGCTCAAAATGTAGAAATGCCTCTAAAGTAGTACATGGTTAGGAAAAACACAAAAAATGGATTTTTTTTTATTAGATGGATTTATGACCAGTCATGCTTCAGTTGTTTCGATGTGTGAAGTTTTTCAGACCTTTTATATCACTTGAGCAAGGCGCTGCGAGAAGGGGGGGAAGCCTGCAAAATTATGTACTTATTGCATTAAGTAGAATGAGAGTGTGCATAAATTCTTTAACCAATGTGTGATATATAGCCCGTTTTAACTACGAGAAAGTAAGAAATAAACTTCTTATCAGCATATTTCTAATGCATTGTTAATATTTTGAATATATACCAAATCTGTAAATCTTTGTATCGCAGAGCTGCTGCCCCTCATCGTGTAAACTGAAATCTGGCAGTTGCGGCTGGGCTGTGGCGGAGGAGGCCATCATCATCCAAGATGAATAAGTTCTCCACACCAGCTTGAGGTATCTCTTGTTAAATTGTACCATTTCAAGAATGAGCTTCTTTATGCTTTTGAGTTATTGAAAATTATGCTCAGCTTCTGTGTACGACTGTTTAATTTATCTGAAATAATAGTGTTTGTTAAAGAAAAGAAATTTTGTGACCGGATAACTTTGTGTCTGAGAATGTGTTTTGTGTGCTTTCTTGCTTATGACTCAATTGTGCATGTGGTTTTGGAGTTTCTATTTTCTGTTGCTCTCAACTAAAAAGGTGAAGATTAGATGAGAAAATTTCTCCAAAGAGTAGGTTATGATTATGACTCAAAGAGGTGGGCCATGATAAGAAATGAAGGACCACTACGCTACTTTTGATGAGCATTTGAAGATTAATTTAAGTTGTTGATCCACCAAATTGATTTTTCATCTAGACAAGCTGTTTGTGAACCTTGTAAACAATGAAACCAAATCAAAGGTGTATTTTACATCTCAAAAGTTGGCAAGCAGGGTTGGGCGGAGGGGGGGGGGCGGGGGTTGGTCAAAGATTAGTTTTTGACGCACCACACACAAGCGTCTTTCAAGATACTTGGTGTTCTTTCGTACACCCAATCTGAATGCTATATGTGCGATATTTTCCGGGGTTATTGAGGTCTGGTCCAGGTTCTCAGGCATTCTCTTTTTAATTTCAACATTTATATCTGGGAAAGAGATCAATTTCACCTTCAAGCAAGCATAAATAGTGAAATGCTCATGTTGACGGTTTTGGGACTATCTTCACAAATCTAACTTGGGTTTTTAACAGTTTCTAGATTTCTACATTTCTTTTTATTTGGGTGACGATAATTTGATCAAGGCTCTATAAATTCTGTGCCTCCATCAGCAGACGTGTTTAAATAATTAATTAATTAATTAAAAAAACTATCTTGACTTGTTGGGTTCCACGCTGATGTTCAATTAGGTGCTGTCACCTGCTAATGATAGGATTAATTGAAAAATATACTGCAGTTGTTTTTGGGGAAGAAAAACATCATCACTCATATTTAAAAATTAGCATTTTTATAAAGGAAATCATTAATATTTCTCATATTCAAGGAGGCTTTATGGAGTCCCATTTTGTGGAAAGAGAGTTATAATAAATTCAGGAAGGAAAAAAAAAAAAAAAAGGTTAGGTGTGCTTTCAGACTCAGTTATAATAAATTCAGGAAGGAAAAAAAAAAAAAAAAGGTTAGGTGTGCTTTCAGACTCTCTCTATTGTTTTGTTTTGTATTTGTATTGGCTGATGTTTGCTTGATCTTGAAGAATACGACAACCTTGAAAATGTCCAACTCCAAGTGAGAGGAGATTCCTGCCCCTGGCATATCAAGGAACAAAGTTGAGAGATGAGGAGAACTGGCAGAGTGCAGGACAAAGCAACATTTGCTTTGTTGGTCCACTCTTCTTCAAAGAGATATTTTTGATGATGGACTAATGAGTTGCTAATCTCTCACCACATGTAAAGGTTATATATAATAAGAGGCTGAGCTCTCCCTTTGGCAAGTCTCATTTGGTGCACTATTATCAAAAAGAAGAGCATGGACCCTACATGGTTGATGTTGCAATCAAATTATTGTCATCCTGTTCATTATTCAATGAACCAAACTCACCTATTTCATCAAATAAGAATAGTATATCAAATAGAGGAAATTTTTAAAACAGCCCCAGACAGTTTTTTATTTTTCAAAATCGAATCATTTTTTTTTATTTATCAAAATCGACCCACTTTTTTACCACGTGGGCTTAATGATGTTCCTAAACAGTCGGGTTTGCCAACCCGACCGTTTAGGACATAAAAATTTTGGGTTTAAGGGTTCTAATTGGGGTTTAACACCCTTCTAAACAATCGGGGTTGCCAACCCCGACTGTTTAGGAACTTCATTAAGCCCACGTGGTAAAAAAGTGGGTCGATTTCGATAAATAAAAAAAAGGTGGGTTGATTTTGAATAATAAAAATCTTTTTGGGGTTGTTTTGAAAATTTCCTCATATCAAATATTAAAAGAGTTGGTATTTGATAGTCCCCCCTTTGCATGGAGAGCTACCTCCAGCTATCAAAGTTGTAGATCATCAAACGAAAGTTGTTGTCACTATCCTGTGACCGTGTGTGAACTTTATTCTTTTTTCTTTTTTGTGGGATTGCACTTTGTTCTAGTGCAGGAATTGTTCTTGGAATATACTCGTCATTCAATAAAGGCTACTTGTTGGGGGGCATAAGTAGGCTCTTGATTTTACTTCTGATTTTTTTTTATTTTTATTCAGACAAAGTAAATACCATGGATTGATTATATTTTGAACTAGTGTTTCTTCACAGAACTTTTGGAAGCAGAACCACCTTGTTTTCTGAGTTCTTCCCTTGTGTGTTTATAGCTAGTTTGCACCTGGAAATTTCTTGGCAAAGAAAATTTTTCCTGAATTTTATAACGAGTAAAATCTTCTTAGCGTTTGAGTTCTTCCTTTGGGATCTCATTTCCACGAAGAGAATTCTGGTTAGTTTTTAAGTGATTCATGTCTTTTGCTCCTCGTACAATCAGCCTCACTTAATTAATTCTGGTTAGTTTTTAAAGTAATGAGTGCAACAAGGCATAACAAGCTTTACTTGTAGTGCATAGCCTGAGTATGGACAAGTTAGGATACCTTTTTTTTTTAAGGATTTTTTTCGGTATTAGTCCCTTAAATCTTCAAATCATGGAAATATTGCTATTAGCTCCTTCAAATATTAAGTTATATTAAAATTAGTCCCTCAAATCATTAAAATCGCTATTAAAAAGTTAGTCTCTCAAATATTAATTAAGTTGTTCAGAAGGTATCCCCCAAACCAAGAGACAGTAGCAAAGAGAGACAAATTGGTCACTTAAAATCATTGAAGTTGCCATTAGATTCCAATGTCCTCATAATATATTTTTTTCCCCCAATTAATCTCTCTGATTCCTGCTTTTACTCCCGATTGGAGGGGCTAATTCGAAACTAACGTATGATTTCAGAGACCTAATAGCAATTTCAATGATTCGAGGGAGTAATTTCAAAATTACTCAAGATTTGAGGGGTCTAATAGCAATTCCCATTATTTGAGGGGCAAATTCAAATTATGAAAGATGCAAGGGACTTGTATCGGAAAACCACTTTTTTTTTTATCTGAACAAAACAAGCTAAGGACGCTCGAGTGGGGTTTTGTGAAGCCTCTCATGTTTCTATGTCGCTAGAATGACCTCCAAACTCACGTTATTTTAAAAAGGGAAAAAATAAAAAAAATAAAACATTTGAGGCTCCTGAGGCTTTGTCTGCCAACAAGTACTGTTTTTTTAATCCTCGTCTTATGATCGATCTGCTTCTATTTTTATCTCTAGAGTAACTTTTCTGGCTTTTGCCCTTAATTACGTTATATACATAAAAATAAAACGAACAAAAAACGAATAAATAAATGAAGAGAGGATGCAACAAAAGGCACGAGGGCCTGCTTTGCTTGCACTGGTTTGATGACGTACGGTGGTGTGCTCTTTGTTTCTATGCTTATGTCGAATAATAAAATAAGAAATTTTCTAAACAAACCCGTTCATAATTTTTTTTTCTAAAAATAGATCCTCTTAGGTTTTATTTACAAAAATAAACTCATTTTGTCTTAATCCGATTTTTAAATAGTCGGGGTTGGCATAGTCGGGGTTGTCAACCCCGACTATTTAGGCTGTGTTTGGTAAGGGGGTAAATGAAGGGTTAAGGGGGTTTAACCCTCTCTTAGCCTGCCAAACAGAAAAAACAACAGAAGGGTTAATTAACCCTCACGTGAGCCCAAAACTCCCTTTAACCCGTGAATTGAAGGGTTTATAATTCCTCGTCGATGGGCGGAACAAGGCTATTCCGGCTTCTCACGCGAAGGGTAGGAGGCGGCATTTTGCAAATCTGGATCTCGGCAGCGGAATTAAGGGAGGCGGCGATCTTCAGTTATCAGGTTTGATTCGCAGCAATCAGTTTCTTCCCCCCCCCCAATTTGTTTCCCTCTTCTTCTTTCCCTCCAAATTTTCCCTCTAAAAATTTCCCTCTTTCTTCTTCCCCAACTATTAATAGGCATATTTTAGGGGGAACAAGAGAGAAACTTTCAGCCGATTGGGATCTCAAGTGACGGGAGGCAAAGAAAAGAGAGGTATGTTGATTTTACAATATCGAATTGGTTTCCAAATCTTTGCCATACAAGCGATTATGTTCATATGAATATCTTTTCGTTGATGGATGGTTTTTGCTCTTATCAAAAGCATGCCGAAATTTAGGGCTTTTATTGTTGTCTTTTCTTTGAGGGAGTAGGCTATATTTTACATATGTTTCTATCTTTAATTAATTTGTCTTTTTAAGTAAATTATATTTTTCTTCACTCTGAAGAATTGCTATTAAGTTAAATTCGATTTGTTCAGGCATATATGTTGGGTATTTACTTATTTTCCTAATTGATATCAATGCTAAATTTCACATTACTCTAGTGCAACTATACAATAGTAAAACTTCGGCAAAGTGTTCAAGATGTTTGCTCTCAAAATCCTAAATAAATTAGACTCGAATACAAATTATTATTAATTGTAAGATTTTGACAATTTACTCACTGTAAATTGCGTGAGGGAAATCAAGAACATGAAGTATTGGTAGAATCGTAGTCTTTTAAATAGGCCAAAAATGATGCATGCATCAACAATTCCATGATAAGTTTAAAGGCACATCTAGGCATCCCATTAACAAAGATACCTAAGAAACAATGTCTAAAAAGTTGATACATATATTATAGCTTATTCTATCAAAAGATGCAGATATTGGAGAAAAGACCTGTACTTTACAAACACTGTCCTATAGAAGCAATACAATAAGAATTCACCTTTGTTGAGACTATATAATGGCAGTCATAACTTAATGCCTCACCTTTAATATGGTTAGGTTTTACTCATCTCATGTACCTTTTTTTAACAATTAAAGGCTACTTTACTGTCAAAATGCAGAACCTTTTCACAAGCTAAATGATTCATCAGTGTTGTCGTTAATGAGCTAGAGTTTGGCATAATTTTATAGTTAACGCTAAAGACACTTTTGATAGTTGAAAGTAGAAGCTAAAAACATGCTAGTATGAATATCCAAGACATTATCAAAGACAACTTGAATGCAAGTTAAATAAACCCTGTCTAGAACTAATATAATTCAACAGCAGCATATGATTTCAAATGAAAATTAGGATGCCAATAACATCCATACATTAAGAACAAGATATGTCTTGGCTCTAAACATGCTAGTATGAAGCTAGAGCACTTTTAGAACATTAACCAACCTTCCTTTAGCTCTCTCCGTGTACTTAAAAAGTATCATATACAAAAGATTGAAGAAATTATCAATCAATTACAAGCAATCTAAATCAAAACGCAACACATTATAAATATCTATTCCTACTAATATAAAGCATTGCAAAAAGACAGAGGAATTCATAGCTAATACTTGACCTTTAAACTTTCAGATAATAGCACCGCTTGATGGGCCTCTTTCTTGTTTTCAACTGATGCTGTCAGATTACATGCATATACTTGTGGAGGTTTTAATATGAATGTTAATTTTGTGGGACCTTAATCTGATTTCATCTAATGATGTATGCCAATTGATAAGTGCACTGTGCATATACTAGTGGAGGTTTTAATATGAATGTTTACTTTGTGAGACCTTAATCTGATTTCATCAAATTAGGTGTGCTAATTGAGGAGGTATTTAAAAAGGATAAATTTCTGGGAAATTGATGGATTGACATGAATTATAGAGGTGTTGCTTTTGATAGTATTAGATTAGATATTATGAACATATGTATGTATTGTTATACACATACATCCATACATATTATGTATGTACACATGCAGACATGCATGCATAAACATGTATACATGTGCGCACAATTGCAAACACTGAATCACATTATATAATCAATGTATGGATTATCCTATACTAATTAACTGAAAATTCTCAGTTTATTTCCTGGCAACAAATATCAGATCAGTAAATGTTATCTTAAAAACTATACTAGTTCATTGTGATGATCCAGTGAGAAAGTATGGTGAACTTTTTGAATTTTCTATGTTTTTCCTTCACCTCAATTATGTTCATATGTCATATAATATTAGTTTTTTGAATTTTCTATGTTTTTCCTTCACCTCAATTATGTTCATATGTCATATAATATTAGTGGTATTGGGTTTATAGTTTAAAATTGATTAGTTTATTATCAATTATGTTCATATGTCATATAATATTAGTGGTATTGGGTTTATAGTTTAAAATTGATTAGTTTATTATTCAATTGATTAACTTCTTTTAAAATTCTCATTAATGATCTAGAATGACTAAGAAGAACTTCATAGCACAATCTCAACACGAAGGTGGGCAGTCAAGACCTCGAGCCAGGAACTGGACTATAGATGAAGATAATTGTTTGTTGGGAATATTAAAGGAAATGATCCTTAAAGGAAAGAACAATGGAGGTCATTTCACTACCGAGCAATGGTAAAATGTTACCGATGAGTATAAAGTTAGGACTGGACAAAAGGACAGAGGCAAACTACAAATGCAAAACCGTTATAAAATTTTGAAAAAGCAATATTCCCTTAATTACAAACTCCGAAATAAATCAGGTTGGGGTTGGGATGAAGAGAAAAATATGGTGATTGCACCTACTGCGAAAGATTGGGAGGCATTAATAAAGGTATTATTTAAACTTCTAGTATTATTAAATTTAAATTTTGTATATTTAAAACTATGATATATTTATTATGAATTTTCTACCACAGGAGAATGATGAGTATTTAAGAATTAAGAACAAACCTTTTCCTCAGTTCGATGATATGGATTTTCTATGTGGAGGTAACACATCTAAGGGGTGCTGGTGGTTTGGGACTACTGATGACTTCAATGAGCGTGAAGGAAGCACTAGTTCAGATAATGAATTAGAGGATACTGAGGGGCCACACAATAACGAGATTGATTTGAGTGATTCAGAGGAGGTACACGAAGTGGAATAGACACAATTTAATGGGACACAACCACCATCACAACCAATACATATTTCTACTTCGAGCATAAAGCATCACGCTCAACGATCAGGTTTAAAGCGTAAGTTTAAAAATATTTCTCGTCGTCGAGCATCAGGTATTGAAGTTGAAAATAATTTGTAAAAAATGATTGAGCTCCAAAAGCAGCGAGTTGAAATGACAAAAGAGCTTGTAGATTCCAGAAAAGGGGTGCCTACTGAAATGAAAGAGTGCATGGATAAGATAATGAAATTACCAGGTGTAACTAGTGATCTATGTGTGGCAGGAGCAGAAGCTATTAAAAAGAAGGAGAATAGGCATGTCATTAATATGCTTAACGGTCAAATGCTATTATCATGGCTCAAGAAACAAATGGATTTACAAAATGCAATGATCGGTTATCCATCGCCTATTTACAATTTCCAACATCAACCACCTCTAATGCACCAGTTCCAGGGTCAATCACGAATGTCACAAGCTCATGACAGCAACATGCAGGAGATGGGGTCATTTGTCAACTTACTTAATGAGACACAAAACTTTCAGCCGACTTGATGCTTTATGTTCAAGTCTCAAGAGTCAAAACTAATCAAATTTAGTTTAGTAGTATGTTTTCTTACTTTTAGTTGAAGTTGATGTTCCAAAGAGTGACTTTCTTATTGTCAGGCAATGAAATTTAGTTTAGTAGTATATGGTTTTTTTCAACTTCTTTGTTTATTCTGTTATATTGCTCTCAACATAGTTGTTTTTTCAAATTCAGTTGTGATTTCCTTATTGCAAAATGTATTATAGGTCATTTGCAGTTACACATATGATTCGAGCTTGTTTAACTCTCTATTGTTGTGTTTTTTTATTGGAATTTGTGCTCGTTGTCGAGCTTTGGGCTGTTTTTCCAGTTACATATGATTCGAGCTTGTTTAGATCTATATTGTTGGGTATTTTGATTGGAATTTGTGGTCTATGTCGAGCTTTGGAGATGTTTTTCCAGTTACACATATGAATCGAGCTTGTTTATCAATGAATAACCCAACATATCAACATGCCTGAAAGATAGTGACACAATCTCAAGTGTCGAGCTTGTTTATCAATGAATAACCCAACATATCAACATGCCTGAAAGATAGTGACACAATCTCAAGTGTATCCCTGTACAAAATACAAACTATGACCATGTACATGATCCCATATGCATCTACAACACATATCAACATGCCTGAAAGATAGTGACACAATCTCAAGTGTATCCCTGTACAAAATACAAACTATGCCCATGTACATGATCCCATATGCGTCTACAACACATCAACATGCTTGAAAGTTAGTGACACATGTACATGATCCCATATGCGTCTACAACACATCAACATGCCTGAAAGTTAGTGACACATTCTCAAGTGTATCCCTGTACATAAAAGTGAGGATATACCAATCATACAGCAATCATGAAGATTTGTTACAAAATACAAATATGCTCTCAACATATTTCATTATGTGTACAATATGGTGATATTAGAAGTTGTTAAATAGGATTTGGACAGGCTATATAAATGTATTTTTACAATTCAAACATATCATTTATGCATTAATCTTTTTTGCCTTTTAACATCAGACACATCTCTTATACATGCTTTATAATTTTTGATACATTACTTTCTATGATAGATTTAGGAGTGTCAGTAAGTAGCCGTTAAAGTCAATAAGTATCAGATATGAGTACATTTCCTTCATCCAGGTACCATTGCGACTTATGTTCCCGTTAAAGTCAATAAGTATCAGATATGAGTACATTTCCTTCATCCAGGTACCATTGCGACTTATGTTCCACCGATAAATATAGCTTTAGCTGTCCTTAGAATGCACAAAGAGTTTTTTTTATTATTACTCTGACTTCTCAAGGTGCTGCTGAAGAGAAATGCCTTGCAGACATCTGTGTCCATGACTATGAGGTGCATACATCGGCATACAAAGCCCAAACGAAATGCACAATTCACATCTTAGCATAGAGTTTTGCTGGAGTAAAGATAGAATATTTCCATCTTTTCTGACAAGAGTTGAATATGTGCTACTGCAACATCCGCTAAAGTTTATTTTATCTTCCTATCTTGAATATTTTTGCAATCTTTATATATTTTCGAATTAGAACAATGATAAATTTGTAAGGTTTGTACCTCATGCCTTGAGGGTTATACATTGTCTTATAGATGGTTTTAATGCTTCGCCTCATGCTTTGCTTCTTAAAGACTGTTCAGACACTAGTATTTATCACATAATTAGTCATAATTAGTCATAATTAGTCATAATGCTTTGCTGCTAAAGTTGTCTAATTTTTTCCATTTTTAATTTGGTTGAAGATGAATTCATTTGAAGATTTTGCAAGCGATCTTAGTGTTGATGATATTGACGCACTTGATGATGAAGATGATCTTATAGAGGCGTTGCTTTTGAATGATGAAGATGAGGATGAATACATGTGGAATGAGATGATTACAAGTATCATTCATCATTCAAATATGATGAAGCAGGTTCCTCGACCATGTCGAACTAGGCCATTCTCTGGACATATGCTTGTAGAAGATATGTTGTCTGGACATCCTGATCGTTCATATTCTTGCTTCCGAATGAGTTCTGAGGTAATTCTTTGGCTTAAAAATGTTCTAATTGAGAAGAATGCTTTAAGGCCAACTAGATATTTAAGCTGCAATGAACAACTATGTATATTTTTATACGGAATTTCGCATGCCCTTTCAAATCGAGTATTAGCTGAGATATTTCAACATTCAGGAGAGACTATTAGCAGGCAATATAATAATGTGCTTAATGCTATATTATCTTTGAAACAAGATTATATCCAACTTCCCACGACTGACGTAGACGTTCATCCTAAGATTCGAGAGAATCCCAATTTCTTCCCATATTTCAAGGTAGAGATCTCAGCATATATTTTTTTCAAATATTTTTAAATTTGTATGTGTGTTTGTTTCTTTACATTAGAACTTTATATATTTTTATATTTGCAGAAAGCATTGGGAGCAATTGATGGATCTCATATTCCTGTAATTGTGAAGAAAAAGAAACACAACAGGTATCGTAATCGAAAGAATTTCATATCTCAAAATGTAATGGCAGCATGCTCCTTTGATCATACTTTTCTTTATGTTGCTGCTGGATGGGAGGGATCAGCATCTGATATGTCAGTACTTCGTGCAACACTGGAAGATGGTAAATTTAATGTTCCTGAAGGTAAATTTTAATATTTTTCCTTTTGGTTTATTTAGAATCAATTAGTACTAAAGTCAGATAATTAAATATGTAGGTCGCTTTTACTTAGTTGACTCGGGATATGCTAATACTTCAAAATTTATCGCCCTGTATCGTGGATCACGCTATCATCTTGGAGATTTTACAAATGGAACCACCAGAGCCTATCGAGATACTAAAGACAAATATAATCATAGACATGCATAACTACGTAATGCGGTGGAAAAAGCATGGGGAATTTTAAAGCAAAGATTCAAAATTTTGAAAGTTCTTACTCTATTTCCTTATAAAACTCAAGTTAAAATCGTTGTAGCTTGTTGTGTTCTTCATAATTTTATTACAAGGCATCAGGGAAATGATAAATACTTTAATATGCTCAATGGATTAGAGATGAATGAGGATGAAGATGAGGAGGAGGAAGAAGACCCCCAATACATGGTTGGTGTAGATGAAAGTTTAAGGGGTGAGCAGCTTCGCAACAAGATTGCTTTACAGCTTTGGAATAATTGATATATGTAGTTGTCGAATATTAAAGTATAAGGAGGTTGAATTATGTATTTTATTATCTTTATATTAGCAAAAACAAGAAATTTTATATAGAG